AATCACAAGGGTAAAAGAACTGCTAGGGAAAATCACTGTTCTTTTAAAACCAAATTCCAACTTTCTTCAGATTATTTATTTTAATATAAAAGGGATATATGTGCCTGATAAATACGAATAATTGCAGAGGAAACCAAGTTATCAAAATTCACTTTTCGCTTCAAATTATTGTTTAAAAATCGTAAAAATGCTAAAAAAAACAGATTTCCGTGTTTTCTCTTAATTGTTAAAGATTTTTCACTGTTGGTATCTAATTTATATTATTTCTCCAGAATCTATCTTTTGCAACAAATACAAGAGATAATTTGTCTTGTTACTTTTGACACTAAGTTGATTTGCCCCCATGTAACAAAATGAAATGTCGATTTAGAGCACTAATTATGTCGTGGGCTGTTGACGTTCAGATACATTTTTAAACCTAAATTTGAGATTCAAATTTTTATAATGAAACTACAAAGTAGCTTAGTGTACAAAGTAGTACATAGTGGAAGAAAAAAATCGGTGTTTTCCTGAAAACAAAATTTAGTTAGTACTTAAGATAGATTACTAAAAATTGTTATATTATATCTACTTTAATAAAGTGAAATTATATTGCACAATATGTAATGTTACTCGTGTACAGATTCGTAACGAATTAAATGCGCACAGAAACAGAACCGATGTTAACTTGATAAAATTTATGTTTATGAAACAGACACTACAGTTCTGGATCTTTTCACAATAGTGCTCGTACAGCTGTTCTCATTATGACAGAGCTCAATGAGAAATTATCACTTCAAACTACTAAGAACGTTAAACACAAAAATGTAAAATTTAGCTACAATTTATCGTGATAGCCCCTATAATCTTGTTTTTCCGGCAGAGCTTCATCTCTTGAGGAATTTCGTGTTGCATTATACAAAATTCCTAAGTGTTGAAAATACTTTAAAATTTCGGTTTCAATTATGTATGCATAAAAAACGTTTTTGTTCTTAAAAAAGTTTGGTTACTTGATAATTATTTAAAATTTTTAAACCTAAGTAAGTAATCTGAAAATTTTCAGTTTTTAATTTGGTTTTATTAAGATTTAGGTAACGCTAATATTTTGCTGTCTTGTTACACCCTTTTGGAATATCAAGTTATATTACTCAAAGCAATAAAAAAATTTACAGCCTTAAAGGAAAAAGCTTCTTTCTCTATTTACATAAAAGCTTGAGTATAAATGACTCATGAGGAGTCCAAGTCTGTTCTTATAAGTGAAATTTAAAATTTCAGTAGAGCCTTTGGACGTCAAATAAATAAAAATAATAAACAAATTTAAAAATTCATAATATAGATTTGTCTATTTGCAAATTGTGACTCAGACTGTAACTTGCATATGATGAAATCCAAGAAGAAAGTTTACAAAGAAATATCTCTTCAATACTCTTTGCTATAGTTCTTCAAGCTATAGCTATTTATTTTAAATTTATACATCACCCCTTTCACAGAAATAAAGAAGCAGTGTGACTCTCTTATCGCAAAATAGCTGACTCTCGAATCAGTTATGCACTCCTACTTATGGTAAAAGGAATTTGTCCATGGAAAAATGGCTCCGAAGATCCCACTGTGCAAGAATTTACAGTCGAATACGCTTCGCTCTCTTTGATTGCGCCATTTCAATCTGAAAGAAAGAAAGGAATCTGAAAGTCTGACGGTGAATCTGGAGCTATTCTATAGTTTTTTCTAAATCGGCAGTCCGTTCCATCAGGGCACCAATATCACCTGATAACAGACTTAATGAGTTTAATGGTTATGATGTATTATCTCCCTGCTTTTAGCATGTAGGGTTAGCACACTGGCAAATATTCAAGAGGTCCAGGTTTGAGTCCTGGTGATTGCAGTGCTCATTTTTCATGTCTTCTGCTTCAAAATAACCTAATTGTAATATTTTGGTGTTTATTAAAGGATTATTAAAATGTAATATCAAACGTATTACTTAGTAGATTGCATTGTGGATGCAATAACCTATAGCTATATACAAATGTGTGATCTATAAAAGGAAATATGAAATCAAAGTAAAATTACCCCAAAGGATGATAATTCAAATATCACAAATTAAATTAATTTTTTTATTTTTCCTTTAACATCACTATTTCTGAATAAGCATTAAAGATAAAATAAGAAAATATTAACCAGCCAGACGAAAGTAGGTCTTAAACAAAATCACGCCCGGAACATGTAACACGTGTAATGCACATTACTGAAATAACGTTGAACTCAAAATTAAAGTCAGTCTTCTTCCATCTGTACAAATCAAAGTTCTGGTGAAAAAGGAACGATCAAGTATACTTACCTTTTTGGTGATTAACTATAGTTTGAATGCTTAGAGTTGATTATTTTTGTTTGAAATAAGTTGATATTGTTTACATTATGAGATTCTTCAGGAACTTTAGAAAGAAAATCAGCAGGATTAGAAAACTAGGTATGTGCTTTAAAGTATAACCAAAATCCTGTAAATACAATAACCATCTGGCAACAATATCAGGCTGCTTATCCAATTTCATATGAAAAGTGTGAGGTTTAGCAACAGTTAAAATAGTAAACTTGTTGCCATACAAATGTTCATGAAAATGTTTCACAGATGAAAATATAGCATAGAGATCATGTCTAATAGATGGATACTTAGACTCAGCAGGAGTAAGAAGTTTCGAATAAAATTCTACAGTAAAGAATTTGTCATCAATTTTTTTGCAAAAGAATACCACAAATAGCTACTTTAGAAGCATCAGTAATTAAAAAACTTTCATGATTATCAGTAATGTTTCTTATTGTTGGCTTTTTCAACATTATTGATTGCAATTCATCAAAAGCATCTTGACAATTTTGATTCCAAAAAAAGGGTACATTGCTTTTAGTTAAGTGTACTATTGGCTGAATGATCTCAGCAAAATTATGGACTAAATGACTAAAATAATTCATGATTCCAAGAAAAGCTTGTTTAATATCTTTTGGAATAGGGAATTTTGAAACCTTTGCAATCTTATCTTCAGAAGAAGAAAAACCTGCTTTGGAAATGTTATAACCTAAATACGTTATATCAGACTTGCATAATTGCACTTTAGCTGGTCAAATTAAATGCCTTTAGCGTATGAAAAACCTTTTTGAAGAATTACTTTCAATTCAGGTACACTATCACGCAGCTACAATAATATCATCCAGAAAAAATTTAACGTTACTACCTTTGATGTCATTTAAACATTTTGAAATTAGTGTGTGGAAATAAGTACTATTACGTGAATCAAATGGAAGTCTACAAGGATGAAAATTACCAAGTTCGGTGAAAAATCCCAACTTTTCTTTATCAGAGTCCTGTAAATTAATTTAGAAAAAGGCTGATTTCAAGTCGAGTACACAATATAAATTCCTACTAGCAATGTTGTGTAAAATTTCAGAAATTTTTGGTAAACAGATTTTGTAGGATTCTGTAATGCTGTTTAATAGACGATAATCTACAACCATACTTAATTTTGGTGTGTTTTTATACTCACCAGGTAATGTCTTTTTTCTGACAAATATAACAGGAAAACTATAACTGTAAGAAGATTGTTCTATTATTCCTGCCTCTAATAACTTTGCAATTTCTTGTTGTGCATACTGTTTAGCAATTTTAGGAATGGTATAAGCTCTTGTCTGAATCTGAAAATTATGAAGTAGTTTAAATTCTGGCACACCTTTACCATTGGACCCTAAATTGTTATAAGATTTTGAAACTACAGCATAGTTATTCATTAACAATTCTATCATTTCACCTTTTGCTTTTTTCATTTAAATGATCTAGTTTAAAATCTGATACATTTAATTTCTCTTTTCTGAGTTTAATTACTTCTTGTAGATTTAGTGTATTGATTTGTAATGTTTCATGATTTTTTTGGCCTGACAATATCCTCAAAATGGAATGGCATAGCAGTTCCCATGACAGAATTCTTTCTTAATTTTATTGGTATTATTTTCAATGATAGTTTGAATAATGTAGAGGCTTGCCTGCACACTAATGATTTTACATGGTTATGAGCCTTAATGAATCGAATCTGTTGCTCAGTCTCCGTTATCAAACAGTTTCTCTACTTAATTTGCTAAGTGGGTAGTCAAATGCAGCCTAATGTGGTATTTATAGCCATGAAAAAGATGACAAAAGAATGCCACAAAATGAATTAAGCATATAATTGAAATTAGGAATTGTATATCATTTTATCTAAAAGTGACCCACAACTTCTTTGAACTTATTTATGTTATAGAATAGGAAGACCCAATTCACGGTTGTTTGAAATTTTAACTGGACACAATTATTTTCATCAAATTTATCTCTTTCGAAGAAGATTAGAAGTCTCACTAGAGTTTACCATAGTGATATACTCATGTATGACCAAATCCATAGAGTCAAACTAATTTTGAGACTTTGTAATTTGTTTTCAGACATTTTCTATTTTAAATCAATGCAGACGAAATTCTCTTTACTAATTACTAAAGGCTAATTGGGCTTATTTTACCTGTCTAATTTCATTTTAAAGATGTTCAATAGCATGACATCTAAACAACTTTTCATGTTGTGGCTGTTTTCATTTTCAGTAATTACTGAAACTACAGTTCAATTCAATTTCGTCATAAATACTGACACTCGTTTTTCATTTATTCGTAATTGATGCTTCACTTTTTCTATTTGAAAATAGGATAAAGTGTAATATTTGTTTAGTATTACTTTAAAAAATGATCCAAAGTTGAAATTTATGGACAGCTTATAGTATATATTTGTGCACCATTGCTGAGGTGAAAACCCATATGGAGTTTTCGGGATTTTTTTACCCTCAGTAAATTCCCACTTCCTCTTCATTGAATGAAACATCATGTTGTAAGTTATTCAGAAAGTTTCTGTGCGCAGCATAACTAATATTTACTTAGAATACAAACAGAAGTTATTTAAAAAAATGTTTACTTTAGTAGAATATTAAAAGCACTAATGAATTCTCTTTTTCTCCCTTCAGGTTATGTGAAGCTATGAATATCGACCCTAAACATATGCTAATAAGTATGGTTATTTTCTCCAATATTGGAGGAACAGCGACACCTATTGGAGATCCTCCGAATGTTATAATTATTTCGAACAAGAAGATCTCAGCTGCTGTAAGTTATTGTAATTGTATTTATGAAAATTTTAATATTTTCTCTCTTAGAGGTGGAAAATCTAACAGAATTTACCCAGTTTCTTCAGCCATCATTACGCTACACTCCTTTTTATTACCAGAGCATTTATTATTCATGCAGACTAACACTGTTGCCACTCGGAAGAACGTAAGATTAGAAGTGTTCCTACCTATGCGATATAATTTTTCATTTAATTTTTTTTTTCAGATTTCATAGTTAAAAAAGTAAATGTTTCTCATTGTTAAAAAAAATTAATTTGTCTTTTAATCGAGATTTCTTAATGCAAATACCCTTCCCTCTTTTCTGTTTTTGTGTTGTTTGGTTAGTTGGTGTAAGACGTCAGACGAACTTCAGTTTTATGGAATACCAAACTAGCAGATTTTTTCCTCTTTTCACACAAATCATAGACGTATGGGAATACTAGCAAACATTTATGAGGAGTATTCCTCACTTAATAAAATAACGATATTTCGTGAGAAAAAAATCAATAATACTTCGTTTAAACCATTCCAAACTTTAAAATTTGTCTTAAATAAGATTTAATATCTTAATTGCTCTGCATTTAGTAATTACCAATTTAGGTCGCAAATATGCGCTAAGAGAAAATCTTTTATTCATATTCCATTACTTAAATATAAAGCGTTTCCGTGTTAGGCATTCAAATGCCCTAAATTTTTAAATGGATTAGACGCTTTCTGAAGCCTTAGATTACTTCCTGGTCACACGTTATAGTTGAAATTAATGGTACTCTTTCTTGTATCTCTTCAACTGTAACATTCGTCCCGAATCGAATTTGCTTCAGTAACCTGCATATTTTGTAGACTATTAATTTAAACTGAAAGCTGTGCCATCCATTTTAAATTGTAGATTAAAATCTTAGTAAGGCAATGAAAACTATCATATTCTATCATATTTTCCGACGTATTATGTGCATTTTCAATACAAAAACTAAAATCGAAATGTATAGGTGCATGGTATGCGCGGGAAATAAAAATAATAGATTTAAAAACAAGAAGAATAAACATACCAAAGTTAGATTTCTAAATGTACCTAAATGCTGTTTATTTAAAATAAATGACATACATTATGAGCTAAAAATTTTCATTATCGGATTTCGTCATATTCGTCTTCCGTTGCATTTCACGCACATCACCGAATTCTGTTTCATCTTCATTACTATTGTTACTCTGATCCATAAAATAATCATCCTCCGTTCCATCTACATAGTTAGGTATGTAACATTTTAAATGACCTTTCAATCATGTCGAATTTAATTTCATCCCATGCTTTTATTATCCACTCGCATACTATTTCTAGACTGGCACGACGCATTTAGGCCTTTTTCCGTAAATGTGTATTCACCTTCAAACATCCACGTATTCCATTGTTGCTTTAACCCTTTCCGACACACTACTTTTTAAAGTTGGAGTTTTCATAAAAAAGGTAGGCAGTCTAATTAGGCCTAGAGGAGTACACAAGTAAAATTTTGTGAAGATAGCGCTTATCGTTTTAATTCTGCGAGTGCGCCCAAAGTGGGCACAATGATTGAATAGAGCTTCGAAAAGAGTGCTGAAACGAACATTGTTGTCAGTGAACTGACCGTGACCGATTAGATGCGGAGAAACAAAGAATACAGACTCTCAATGAAAAAATTAATTGTTCTAGATTATCGGTGAGCCCGTCCTGGACACACCTAGGGTTCTCCTTTTATTTTAGGCAAGATTTCAAGATAAAAATTTAAAACTAATATAGAATAAGGAGATTAGCATACAGCCAAAAAAATAACATAGAAATTTCTTTTCAAACCATTCCTTTTATACCCTAAAAAAATTTGGAAGATTTCATTGAAAAATTAGGGTAACTAAAAAACTAAACATGGCTTAAAATATATGGACTGGTTTGTGTTGAGCCATCTACTGTAAATAAAGAATGTACAGAGTAACCTATAGTAACTTATAAATCCTTTTTCATTCAATTTTTCTCTGCGTACGGAAGGAAATTTTTAGGTGTGTCCACACCGGACACACTGTGCCTCAAAGGGTTAAACTTTCAGTGAATGGTTTATTCATACACACATCTAAAGGCTGAACTGACGACTTGATCTAGCTGGAATAATTGCCATGCCTGTGCTACACTCTATCAACAATTTTCTCGTATTATCCGTTAGATGGGATTTGAATATGTCCCAAACTAAAAGATATTCAAGATTCTAAGGCAACAGGACGCTTTTGCCAAGCGTTTCTTATCCACAATCTCGCACTCTTTTTGTCCATTCATCCTTTCTCTTGAACATGTATGAAAACACTATTCTTAAAATTACATTTCAGCATCGTCTTTATTTTACAAAAAAAAAAAAAAAAACGTGGGTTCTAATTTTGTAAAATCCCTACGGTGAGATGATATTTTTCCTGACTTGTTTTATGCTTTTGTTCCTTTCAGAACAATTGTTTTACTTCTTATCCTATCAAACATTACTGGAGTTTTATCCATATTTCCAGTAAATGATAGTAAATAATTTTTTGCCTGTCTATGTCAATAATATATGTTTGTAAACTTATCAATTTGTTGTCCAAATCTTTCGGAAGCTTTAGCGAAACTTTTGCTTTTTCTAGTAGAGCTAAATTATCTTGTGTCATACATCGCCTACACCAGTTCAAAGTTGCTTAAATATTTTCACTTTTATTTTGTATTCCTTTTTTGTCTAGTTGAAGTAAATAAACGTATGCTGTTTCTTGTTTCAGCTACTTCATTCTGGCGATTTTAGTTCAGAAATAGCGACAGTTCGCAACACTTTCTTCTGGGAAAAGCTATTCGTTATTCTTTTATGCAAAGCACATTTTTGGCATATTGACAATTCTGATTTCATTTTTCTTCCATTCAAGAATGGAGCTTTCAGCGACACCAAACATTCTTCCTGCAGCAAGATTTCTATTTTCTTTTGCAAACTGAATGGCTTTTCATTTGAAACCAGCACCGTATTACTTTCGTTGGGCAGGAGAGCCCTATTTACTAGTAAAAGAAATATTTGATCAACTAAAGCAATTGCGATTTAGTAAAGCCCTCGATGTTTGTTTCAAAATCACGGTTTCAGATGAATACTGAAAGGGAAAATACCTGAATCATAAATCTACGAATTCACTTGGTCGGGAGGGCATTCGTACCCCAAATTATATCCCCATTTTCTCGAAACCCTAGAATAACATTCTTGTGCATAATAGCATTCAATACAACAACCCTCTCAGAATTATTTACTCCCTCAAGCATTCCCTCCGTACACACGCATATTGTTTTTCTTATCACTAGTCAATTCAGTATAACATTGTCCGAAAGCCTGGACAAAATCTTCGAACGAATAACATCAAAAGATAAGAGCATCCCACGTCAGGTTTCTTGGCAAAGAAAAGAGGGCGCGTTATACGGCGAATATACCGAAAAGTTAAAAAATGTAGTTTTAAATTATAGTTGCGTGTTATGTACCGTTGCATGTTGTATGACGGAATATACGGTAGTAAATCGTTTTTACAGTCTTTAGAAGACATTATTTGTTCACAATATCAAGAAATGTATAAATACGTATTTTACTTTGCATCTAATGAAACTCAACTCAGAGCTTTCCTTGGGGACATTAAAGTGGATTTTAGCGTTAGACCAATTGTCTGTTGATGAATTGGTTAATCCATTATAATTAATCTGTTAAGAACCAGTCAAGAAATTAAACTGATAAGAGATTGGTTAAAAGTTTGTCTCTCGACGCTGATTTAGGGTCATTAGAGATAAACTCTAATGCTCTTTAATGGTAAGATTAAGGAATGGGAAATCATGCTACATTGTTAATGACTAGTTTAAAACCACAAATGATGCCATTTATTAAATGAAAGGCTTCGTTTATCGATTATTCAAAATTCTCTATTCTACAAAACTTTCATTTCTCTTCGTATAATTAATGTAAAACAATGACTTGAATTAAAATTTCTTGAATTTTTGAATATTTTTGGATTAACAGCATTATTAACGACACATTTATTATACAATTATTATATTATTACACACTTATTATGCTCATTACGTAACACAAAACCAGCCTTTACTCTGAAATCGTTAGGTTATAAGTTCTGCGCATGGAACAGCTTTCAAGCTTATCAGATGCTTGTTTTATGGGAATTTTAGATGGCTTGCTGTGTAAGAAAAAAATTCATTTCAAAGCTATTATCAGGCTCAGCAACGCCCGAGCGGAAAAAGCCGCAGAACGCTGGTAGTTCGGTCAGATATTCGACGAGTCTTTTTGCGTTAAAAAGACCTCTACAGGGCACCCCTCACTTTCCGAGTAGTGCGTAATGACGGAGTACGTAGTAAGTTTACAAGTTTAAAAACTATTGCCAGCATTATTGATCCAAATCAATTAAAGTGATATAAAGAAAAACGAAAAGGAGATCTTCCAGGATTAAGTAGCAATCTGAAAAAAAATTCAGACTTTTAATGAAAGTTTCAAACATAGTATTATTTTATAATTATTTGAATAATGTATCGTATAATAAGTTTATGGCAAAAACGTATTTGCAAATTTGTCTGATCAATCGGTGTTTTTGATTTTGCTACTGTATCTTCTACCCGTCGTGTTACTGTCGTTTATTGCAATGTAATGAAATATATCAGCACTTATTTCTTTAAAATAATTCTACTTTCTGCATTTACATGATGTGCTAGGCTAGGTTATATATAACAGGCAAATGTTCGAAAGCTAATCCCTAGGAATTATACCTATTGAAGAGCAGAAATGCCCTAAGTGTAATGCGTTCATGTGTATTCACGTTGCACATGAGTGAAACCACACATACCCAAACCTTAGTCACCAGAAGCTTAATCTACGAAACATTTCCATTACTCAAAGCCCTATCCGCTCGGTCTGTGACATACAAAATGAATCACTGAAATAGATGGACAAATATTTTGTTAATCTAAGTGTCATACCTTTCAATGTT